GACAAATTCCCTTTTCATATTTGCTTCATCAATAATTAGAAATCGCAGTGGGGATATATATTAGTGAAAAGCACGCAGGGTCTGAGGACTTGTTCTTTCTGATTCATTTACAATTTGTTTGGGTTTGAGGGTAGAGTTCAAAGGAGACTCCATTTCAACAGATTCCAACTCGAATAGAAAAATTGTTAATAATATGAGGCTTAAGGCCATTGAGGTTTAGACGATGATGATTTTGAATTTGCCCAGGAATCGGTTTTGTGATTGAAATTATAAGATGCAATTTTCAACAGTTCCTTAGGGATGTGCAAAAGATGTGGTGATCTGAAGCTGGTAGCTTGCTTCAAATGCAAGGGCTATGGATTGATCAAAGAAGGTGGGCCCTTCAATTTTGTTCCCATTGTTGGTGAGAGTATGGGTTTTGGTGGCAAAAGCAAGTCATCATCAAACTCTTCATGCAGTAATTGTAGAGGAAGAGGCCATTTTCCTTGTCCCCAGTGCTCAACCTCAAAGTCATCCAAAACTTGATAAGGTTCTTCCAATTTTCTTATTTTAATTTAATGCATCTTGTTCAAGCGGTGGTGTTGTCACGTTCAATATTTATATTTCTGGTGTTGGGATGAATTTATGTTTTGAGTATTATGATGATGATGATAGCTTTGGTTACAGTTATTGTAAGTGCTGCATTTTTTAAAAGATTTGTATGGTTGTAATGATGCAAGTATGATTGATCGTGTTGTGTAAACTCAATTTTCATTAAAGTAAGTGTTGGAATGACTCAAATTTCAATCCAATTAACCTTCTCTAATCTAACTGGAAAATGAAAATAAATGTGGTGGATGATAAAGTTGGGGCTCTTTTGCGTCAAAGGATTAATAAGTGGAAATTGATTCTATACGGGATTAAATTAGACTCGTGTTTATTATAAGGAATGTATAATTTGGATGACATAGTGTTGCACAATTCAAATGGTTTTCACTTGAAATTCACACGATACAAATGAAAAGGTAATTTTATTTGAGAAATTAGATAATATTGTACATAGAAGTGTACATAACACTCACATTTCTCACATTTCGGAATTTGTATTTATATGCACCACTTTTAAAGTTGACAAATATATACACCACTTTAACTATTGTTGGCAATTCGATGCACAGGGCCTAATTTCGGGCCTTGTCTACTGACGTGGCTGCTGACGGGGTAATTTTCTTCTGACATGGCGATAAAAAATAAAACGTTGCTGGGGTTCAAACTTGTGGCTCGAAGTTGCATATTGACATTATAACCACCACAATAATCCAAGTTGTATGCTAAATTCAATAGCGTTTAATATATATAGACATTACATATGAATAAATAAAATTAAATTATAAAGATAATGTAGATTAAATTACACACCAGTTAAAATAAAATAAAAATAATATAGTCTATAGTAATATAAAGAGGTTGTTGGAAAAATACTTTTATAGTAAGTTTGACTAAAAAAAATAAATAGTTTGACTTACTATTAATGGAAATTTCGAAAAAAACACATGTACTAAAAAAATTGAGATTTTTATTGTAACAAATTTGGAGATTTTAATGGTAACAAATTTAATTGAGATACCCCAAAAAAATTGGAGATTTTTATGGTAACAAATTTGGAGATTCCTATACCAAAATTTAATTCATTTTAAATATTAATCCATAGGAATCTACTTTTATTGGTAACATATTTAAAGATTGTTATGCCAAAAAATTGAGATTTTGAATTGAGATATTCCAACAATTACTGATTTTTTTCCTATTCAAATTAATGTTGTAAATCAAACAAAAAATTATTCCAAAAATAATGGATGTTATACCAACTATTGATAAACTCCAATCCCATAGGAGATTTCTATGGGATTCTTATGGTAACAAATTGAGATTCTTATGTCAAAAAATTGAGATTTTGAATTGAGATATCCTAACAATTTCGGATTTTTTCCCCTTCAAATTCATGATGTAAATCAAACAAAAAATTATTCCAAGAATAATGGATGTTATACTAAATATTGATAAACTCCAATCCATAGGAGATTTTTATGGGTTTCTTATGGTAACAAATTGAAGATTCTTATGGTAACAAATTTGAAGATTCTTATACCAAAATTTAATACATTTTAAATATTAATCCCATAGGAATCTATTTTTATTGGTAATAAATTTGAAAATTCTTATGCCAAAAAATTGAGATTTTGAATTGAGATATCTCAACAATTACGGATTTTTTTTCCATTCAAATTAATGTTGTAAATCAAACAAATAATTATTCTGAGATAATGGATGCTACACTAAATTAATATCACTGGGCCCACACGTTAATATGAAATTAATTAGATAGATAAATTACGTAAATCTTTCCTAACAAAGTGCGTTCCAATATTGTTAACCAATTTAATGGGATTTTCTTAACTAATTTGATAAGATTTTGGTAACCACGGGATTTTGTTAGCTTTTCGTGGAAACAAGAATCTTCATTATTGATAAGGTTTGATAAGATTTTGTTTCTAATTTTTTTTTTGTTTTTTTTTCTCTCTCGAAAATTTGATAAGGTTTGATAAGATTTTGTTTCCTTTTTTTTCTCTCTCTCTCAAAAATTTGAGTCGTGGATTTGGAAAAAATAAAATAAAATAAACATATCATATTGATAAAGTTTTAGTGTGGGCATAAAAATCAATTTTGATTTGATTGAACTTTGTTTCATATAAACCTAAGAGAATCAGACGTTTGAAAAAATAAAATATTAATAGTAAATAATCATACCATATTTGTAAGGTTTGATTTGGAATATTGAGGCATAAAAATCAATTATGATTTGATCACATTTTGTTTTATAGAAGTTATCTTAGAAAATTTTACACGTTTCAAGATTATAATTTTGTAAATTAAAGTTTTGGATTTGTCCAAATAAATAGATCAAAATAAAAATATAATTTTTCAATCTATCCAAAAAGTCTTACCAAATTTCATTGTAACAAACTCCATTATTTCTTGCTACATAATCTTCTAAATATTGGTTCGTCCCTCACAAGTGAATCACGTTCCACATTTTTTTTAATTTTTTTTAACAAAACCGATAACACATATTTTTAGAAGTCAATCATAATCATAATAAAAAAAATCGAATCGGATCATATTAAATACCTTACGTAAATATTTTTTTATTTCCTAGACATATGGCACATACACATGACTATATAAACATCACCAACGTTGAACAAAAAGTATTCAACATCCAATATATCTCACAAAACAATTTTTTCTACAAGCTTTTACATCACCGTTGAAAATGGCTTCGGATTTTGGAGTAATTAAGGATATCAAAAGATCCAATAAGCCACCAATAAAGCTACGCATAATTAGGATATTCCAACGAGTTGAAGATGTACGCAATTACCGAAATGTTCTTGAGATTATCTTTTGTGATTTTGAGGTAATATATTCATTTAGTATTATTTAAATGCATCATTTTATGCAACATCTTTTATAATTTATTTATTGAAGTATTCATTATGCAATGTTTTAGGGAGGATAAATTACTGGCATAATTCGACCTGTCAATATCCAAAAAATCATCGGTGATATTGAAGAAGGTGGCGCTTATATCTTGACAAACTATCAAGTGAAAAGCAATACTGGCATCCATAAATCGACGATAGGTAAAAGGAGGATCATTATCAATGGTCAAACCAAGATTATCAAATGGAGGGGTGATTTATCAAATNTATAGACATATTGTATAAACAATCAACTTAAAATTAAAAGATAATATAAATTTTATTTAATTATATTAATAAGATATAAAGTTATAATAATTAAAATATAATAAATAAATAATACACATTATTGAAAAAAATAAAATAAAATAAAGTAAGATAAAATTTATCATACTAGAGTACATTAAAATTAAACTAAATTTTTATTTATTAAATAAAGTAAGAAATAAGATAATATAAGATAATAGAGTATAAAAAATAGTAAAGTAAAATGAAATAAATAAAATAATAAATCAAACAACTTATTATGAAATAATAAATTAAAATTAATAAAATCATAAATGAATATAATAAATAAAAAAATTATTTAATTATATTATTTTTTAATAAATAATTTAATAAAATATTTATTAAAATAATATCAAATAATTTAATAAATTGTTTATTATAATAATATCAAATTATATATTTTTATTTTATTATATTCATTTATTAAATTACATGAGATTATTTTAATAAATATTTTATTAAATTTTTTGATATTATTTTAACAAATTATTTATTAATCAATTATTTCAACAAATATTATAATGAAATAATATTTTTAATTTTATTATTTTCATTTACGATTTTTATTTATTTTAATATATTATTTCATAATAAGATATTTGATTTATTTTATTATTTATTTTATTTTAATTTATCATTTTTTATACTTTATTTAATAATATTATATTATTTTTATTTTATTTTAACTGGTGTACTTTAATCTAGATTATTTTTTAATTTTTTTTTATTATTTTTCATTTTCAAATTTATAAAACTAGTTTTATCTTAATAAAATAAGAAATATATAAATATATTTAAATGCAATTTAATTTTAATGCACTCTACTGTAATAAATTTTATCTTACTTTATTTTGATTTATTTTTTCATTTAATATATATAATTTATTTTATTATATTTTAATTATTATAAGTTTATATCTTATTAATATAATTTATATTATCTTTACAATTTAATTTTATTTATTCATACGTAATGTCTATATATATTAAACATTATTAAATTCAACAAACAACTTGGATTGGTGTGATATTTACAATGTCAATATGCAACTTTAAGATCACAAGTTCGAACCTTATCAATGTTTTATTTTCGAGTAAATTACTTAGGAAACGATGAACCAACAATTATTTTACACGCTTACGATGAAATAAAAAGATTTAGCAAATTTAGATTCTCATGCCATTTTAATTACAAACACACGAGACTTTCAGTTTAGGCAATAGAATATATATCGTCAATTAATACCTAGTTAATGGGAGCAGTTACCAATATTATGAAAACCACCTCTACATTACACGCATAATTACTCATCCTCTCTCCCACGACACTTCCCATCTCCCCACTCTCTCTCTCTCTCTCTCTCTCTCTCTCTCTCTCTCTCTCTCTCTCTCTCTCTCTCTCTCTCTCTCTTCTTCTTATTCTTCTTCTCCTTCTTTTCTACAATTCTACGCTTAATTTTTTTCTTTCCCTCCAATTAAATTTTTTCTTCCTTTTGTTTTTTTGATCGGTCAAGTTCTGAAGTCGGGTTGTCCAGGATCGATTCACCATCAAACTACGACAGATGCATTCTCGATTTCCATCGGGCTCCGCCGACGGAATAGTGTTGGATCCACCACTGTGTTCGGCGGATAGAACAGTTACCAAAAGGAAAAAAACACGATTCATTCTGCTCACTCCACAACCGACCCACGACTGCCCACTCCCTCTTCTCAACTTCATTCTCATTAAACCCTAGAACCAATTTCTATGGCGAAAACCCAAATCCCTCCAATAACCGGTGAATCTACCAGTCGCGATGCTGGTATAGATGCACACAGGAGGTTGAGTCCTCGTATCAGAAAGATACTAGCCAAAGATAAAGGTAAATTAATTCATAAAAGTTTAGATTTCAGAAGAAAGATGAAGCCAAGTGAATCTCCGAAGACCATCGGCAAATCTCGCCATGGTACGCACAGTTCCAACTCAGACTCCGACGATTTTCAGTCAGACCATGTCAAATTTCAACAGAAAGATCCCCTGA